AACATTACTCTTACATTCATATACATCAGTTTTGTTGTCACTAGCACTGTCATTTGCAGGAAAAAAATATATATATATATAATGTAAATATGGGATAAAACAAATTCATAAAGTACAGAAAAAGGTAATAGAGCAAATAAATGTTTTATCTGTTCTTGGGAATCAACATAACAATAAAAATAGCCCTAAGTATACAAAATAAATTATAGGGCACTTAATATAAAAAGGAGGTTTTCAAGTTTCAGTCTGCAACATTATGTTTTTTCTGCCACTTATTTGGGATCGGGTCGCGGGGGRATTATGTGAAATGTTATTTTCTCCACAGGTATCTGTGGGAAACCTCCCATCAGGCGACCAGAAGGTTCTGTCTTATATCACCGTTGTTGGCTGCAGTATTTCTCTCTTTGCTCTGGTCATCACTGCTCTGATCTTCATCACCAACAGGTAATGTACTTTTCCACAGTGGATGACAGTCCTGTTGGCACTCAATATTATTTATTAAATGTTAGCTTTAGATCAGCTTTGGTTAAACTGCATTAGGGCAAAATCTCAGAAAAACATTGTTTTGATTGGTACAACACTGCCTTTTTGTGACTAAACCTTGTAACTACACTAAACATTGCTTTAAATTGAGTACGATAAATAAACTAAACTGTCAATAGAACAACAATATAACACAAGTAATATTCTTCTTTTCAAAAAGAACAAACAATGTATTGATGCACTTAATACCCTGTAAGTTATACTTTTACACCTAAGTGGGAAAAATATAGTAAGTTTACCACATGGCTACATTTATCTGCCTTCATCTTATCTTTACTTTAAACTAKAAAAAAGGCTTTTTTTTCTCTACTGTCACCATACAATTACCTTCCAGTCTTTGTGAAACTTTTCTTACAGAGCAGAAAAAGTCATGAAATCCATCAGAAGTTGTTCCAATTGCTTCCATCTTCTGTCTGCAGGAAACTCAGAGAAGACGATTCTAAGAAGATCCACATCAGCCTCACAGTGGCTCTGATCCTCCTCAACCTTCACTTCCTCCCCAGTGAGGCCGTGGCAGCATCGTCCATTGATGGGTTATGTCTTTACATGGCTCTTGGTCTTCACTACTCCCTGTTGGCCACTTTCAGCTGGATGGCCTTGGAGGGTTTGCATCTCTACCTTCTGTTGGTCAAAGTCTTCAACATCTACGTCAGGAGATACCTGCTCAAACTCAGCTTGGTGGGATGGGGTGAGTGGCATCATCTGAGCACGGAAATAATGAGACTGCATCATTATTCTAAAGAAATCAGTTCTTGTGTTTCAGGTCTTCCTGCAGTCATTGTGTCATTGGTGGTGATCATAAACAAAGACTATTATGGCCATGTTCCTGTGAACTTGTCTAACTCTAATGGCTCTGAAATGTAAGGAGGATGCAGAAACAATGTTTTAACCAGTGCACACTAGAGCAAGAGTTACACTTTAGCCTATGACAAGATGTACACTGTAGATTCAATGAGAAAATCTGGCTTATTGAAAAAAAACTCAGCTTGACATGTGTTTCTGTCTCAGAGCAGGCCTGGGAAAAAATGCTAAGTACTTTCCCCCCCCCCTTCCCCCCCCCCCCCCCCCCCCCCACTACACTGCTACCTGCTTCACCAGACATCAACCCCCTTTACATACACATACACCCCACCTTTCTCCACCACCATTATCCTCTCCGTTCCTCATGCACCGTATCATGTGAGACAGTGCTACAGTTCTTTTAATCAAATTTACGAATTTCTGAAGGTCACTTGTAAGGTTTTGAGTTTTATCTCTTTGCATTTAACTTTATCTCTTCTCCCAGTGTTTTTCTTCCTCTGTGTCTACTGGCTCCTCCCCCAACTCATCTTCTCCTGCTAGTTTCCCTCGGTGTTTGTTATTTCTGTTAATTAGCTTGTCTTCCCTCCAGTTGTGGCTTCATTAAGCTTCCTACAGTTTGATGGAGTTTAGTTGCCATGTGTTTCCTGAAAATTTTCCCCTGAGAGTATTGTATGCTGCCATGACAGCTCTTTGTTTTGTTAATAAATTAATTATTTTTTGATAGGCGCTCTCTAGAAATTTTTGTTTTGTTTTGTGCCTGTTCCCTGTATTTTTAAATTTATTTAATTTTATTTATTTTTTGTCTGAAATGGGAGTGTCCAAACAAAAGGAGGTTCTTAAAGATACACTTTAACACTATTTGTTGTGGAACAGAACTAAACTATGTTCCTGGAAAATATAAAATATCCCCCCTTAAATCATTCAAAATGTATTTTTAAGCCTGGGAGCAGATGAATGCTCTAACAGAAACAATAAAAAAGTGAAAATAAGCACTTTGCTCAAACTAAAAATAATCTAACATTTAGGGATTTTCATTGAATCTAGGAAAATGTTCAGTTGTCTGGACTGAGATTATTATAGTAATTATTTTACTTTCACTTGTTATGCATTTCTTTTCTGTGTAGATGCTATCTTACTGATGACAAAGTGAAGATGGTAACCACAGTGGGAGGGTTCAGCTTTGTGTTCCTCTTCAATGTGATCATCTTTATTGTGACAATAAGATGGTTTGTGACTACTCGTTCCAATAAAAAGGTACGTTTTTTTACYGGTGCTCATCAAATTGTAACTTTGCCAAGTCTTAACCCCAGTCTGTACATAAATGTTTTAATTTTGCCATCACCGTTTTGCCCCCAGTGGTTCACTCTATATTCCAATTGGATTCAAAACTTAAACAGCTTTGCACATATTTGTTGATTCAGGTTGAAAAGGGTAAAAGTAAAGCAGCCAAGAATGAAATTGTTACCATACTGTCAGTGATGGTTCTGCTTGGCATCACCTGGGGTCTGATCTTCTTCTCATTTGTCCCCCTGACCACTCCTGGCCTTTACGCCTTCTGCATTCTGAACTCACTGCAAGGTCTGTCCAGTCTTTCTTTGTGCTGTGATGTTCCTATAAATAAAACTAATATGAATGTGTTTGGCAACAATGTAACCAACATATAAAAATGTGTTAAGTAGATTGGGAACGTCATGGAAATTGTTCAAGTGTTCAGTGAAATATTTGCAAATGCATAGTTTTTATTTGGCTGATTTGAATTATCATCTCTTGTTTGGTACACTAAACTTTTTTTCTCCTTTATCATTGACAGGTTTCTTTATCTTCATTTACTTCGTGTTGTCTCTGAAAAAGACCAAAGACTTAGCTGCGAAGCAGAGCAGTCAGACTCAAACCACAAGTGGAACCTGAACTCATGTCCTCCCCAGACCAGTTCATCGGGAAAATTTATTCTGTAAAACTATTTTTAGTTTTTGGCATCTTTATTTGCAATCACTGATATAAGTGTATATGTACACACAAAAAAAGCATCATTTACAAAACAATGTCATTTCTGTGCACTTTTTAAAAGTTTCTTTGAAGGGATCTGGTTTGTTTTGTACAGGYTAAAAAATGTGATTTTGAAACTAAAGATTCATGGTTATCATTGTTTTGAGAAGTCAAGCCTGGGGAGCCCTGGAGCAGGCCCATTACAATAAGGCACACAAACCTGGCAATTGCCTAGGGTACCGCTAGGGCCCCAAGCCAACCTGCAGCCCCCAGACAATGACCAGTTATGTTTTAAACTCAACAAAAAACTCTGTGAATATCCCTTTAAATGCTGGCCAATGCAGAAAAGTACAACAACATTGTTACTGGAATTCKCCTCAATAGCTCCCCCTTGAGGTGGGATCCTCTCACTGGTTGCTTATTGTCCTGACCCCCCCTGTGTCAGTGGCTGCAGCTGATAAAAAACATACAGGTCCCTCACCAAGAGAGGCCCACAGGACTGACATTTATGTCAACTGAGCATAATGTTCTCAGGTCTTAGACATGGAAGACACAGTTGCTTTTGCTGAAGCTAAGGCTAGCAAGCAGCAGATTTAGTTATTTTGCACATGATGATCTAAGTGAAAAAGTTAATCTTCTGTGTGTATGTGTACACTTTTGTTTGTGTTAAATTTTCAACTTAAAATGCAGCCCACACTTTATTTATTTGTTGTTTATACAGAATGTGGGCTGTTTTGCACTGGATAGGTTTTTTTTTTCAAATGTTCACGTTCAAACATTACTGTTAATTTCATATGCATGCAATATTTGCTATTTCTAAAATGTATACACTGTTTGTAAAGACTGTGTGCTTTTTGCATGGAATGGTGGTGGGATTTGAAAATGTTCTAGTTTAAGCAAAATTTGCACTGTAAGAATYTTTTTGTTGACCTAAAGTTTGAGTAAGTAATCAATGTTTTTTACGTTGTGGTTCTTCACTTTGAGCGGGTGGCCATTCAGGTTGGGGCTGGAGGTGGGGTCCACCAAGACCCTTCTGCCTCAGGCCACCWAAGTGCCTTGAAATGGCCCTGCCCCAGAGCAACCTGCTTGGAGTCAGAATGTCTACTGGAGARATGAAAATCTGCTCATTTCTGAAAACAATTTAAACAATTCATCTATTATCGGACCTACTTGTTTGGTCCAGTGTTTACATTTAATCTTGCCTCTTGATYGATTCTCCGGCACAGCATTTTATTTTTGGATCAGAGCAACTAGCAGAAGTATCGACACAGTCTGACACTAACTTAGCATCATTAGTTGCTGTAGATTCTTAGTCATCCAGACTTCTGTTGTGTGGCTGAAGACGTGGAGTTCTGTGCTTAAAACTGAATCAGGTTGGTACCTTTTATACAGGGATCCATTCACTCATTGCTGCCTCAGTGACGTTACGTAAGAGTCAGATGAAATGAGACGAGCGTTCAGCGAAAAACATCTGATACGTTGAACAGGAGCGAAAAAAATCCAGGGTTCCCACYGGTACTTGAAATCCTTAAAAGTTTTTGAATTTAAAAAGATCAGTTCAAGGCCCTGAAAAGCTGTTGGAACGAGCCATGAAAGGCACTRGTCCTTGAAAGTTTTTTGGGGTTTGAAATTAGACCATCGACATGACGTTGGCAATGGAAAAGGCTGACGTGACAGCAAAATTGTACTTACAAAACAGGCCACAGAGGAGCACAGAGGCCTGGAAAGCACAATGATCTGAAGACAAGACAGAACAGAGCAGCCCAGGTGAGAGCACCACAGCTCCTCCTGTCCTCACAGAACAGCAGCATCCGGACGTATTCCCATGTGACTGCAGCCCTTCCTCCCGCACAGCGTCTCAAACCTCCTCTGAACTTTTTAAAATATAAACTCAAGGCTGGTCCATGGCTTAGACAGCTAGACTGTACCTGTTGCCCCTCACAGCATGATCACTGAAATCAAACTGAAGTGTCTAACTTGATCATTACTCTAGRATTGCAACAGACTGAATTAATAATAAATGTTTTCCCTTCGTTAAAGATTCTTTAAAACAAAAACTGAATTTCTAAATACATGTACAAATAAAAGTTTACTTTGAAATAAKATGCAAAATTAGCTTTAAGTCTTTGTAGTTATTTTAAACTTTTAATAGACTGAATTTATACAAACTCATGATYGCATTCATAATATCAAGAGTAAAAGTGCAGAAAATATTGGAAAATGCACTTTTAAATGCAGCAGATGGCGATCTTGCTGTAGCGTTGTAAAAGAAGCATAGTGTTAGGTTGTTTATCTGTGATATTTGCATGATTTGCATGATTGACTACTGAACATGAACTAAACCTTTAACCTAATGTTTTTTCCCTTTGCCATTTCCAGGTTTGTTTATATCTCTAATTGTATTTTGCTTGTGAAGAAGACTGAARATTCTGCTGCTTAGAAGACCAGTCCAGCACAAATCATCAGCTCAAGCAGAACCTGAGCGATTAATATCTCTCCCTGGATGATAAACATCAGGAAAATCAGTATTTTTTTGTGATCTGCTAATTCCAAATCATACTGACCAAAGCAATTGTGTCAACGTGAAAAATCACAGCATAGTTTTTGTAGAGAATTTAAAAGTTGCTTTAATTTGTTGTGCTTGTGAATTTAAAAGTGCAGTCTGCAGTTGAACCACCTGTGGGACAGCTTGTTAAGATTTTTTTTCATATCATTTTTATTTTACTGCAACATTTCAAGCTATAAAAGAGTAAGCATGAAGTGAGTCCTTTCACTGAACTGTCAAAGATTACAGAAAAAAAACTTACTACAAATAGTGCACAAATCCTTCCTTATTTTTTGAATGCTTTTGTGAGGTGAGACGGACAGAAGACCCAGGGCACAGGCAGGTTCAAAGAACAAAAAAAAAGTCTTTATCTTTAGCAAAAAGACTGACGGGACAGTGTCATGTCCTGTTATTGCATGAGAAGGACAGCAGGGGGAGCTCTGACTATGTATGTAACCAAATATGATGTATGAGAGAAGAATTAGATGTAACAGACAGCGCAAAAAACTCACTAGGAAGTCTAGAAACAAGAAACATTCAAGGAACATGGACACCACACAGGCTGGAGGGACAGCACAATGATCCGACAAACACTGAAGACAGGACGCAGAATAAATAGAAGAACTAATGAGGGACAACGAGAAACACCTGGAGGGACCTTTCTGGGTAGAGTTTGCATGTTCTCTCCGTGCATGCGTGGGTTTTCTCCGGGTACTCCAGCTTCCTCCCACAGACCAAAAACATGACTGTCAGGTTAATTGATAACTCTAAATTGTCCCTAAGTGTGAGTGAGAGAGTGAATGGTTGTTTGTCTCGTTTGTCTCTATGTGTGTCCCTGTGATGGACTTGCGACCTGTCCAGGGTGTACCCCGCCCCTCGCACAGTGACTGCTGGATGTGGGCACCAGTGACCCCCGTGAGCCTGAAAGGAAGGAGCCGGTATTGATAATGGATGTCTTACTGAAGGCTAATGTGTCCTTAAAATTCCTGAATTTGTGAATAACTACCATCGACTGTGTGTTTGTTTACCTGCAGACTGCAAAAAAATCAACCATAGGAACCTTCATCAAAGAGTCATTTAAGATCAGGAATTATGTGTTTTTACACTAACATTTGTTTAGAAAAAAATGAAATATGAGATAAAAGAATATATCTGGATGACTTGATGTTGCTGAGTTGCTGAGTAGGCTCGAATCCACTGGATTTCTTCTCACAACTTCATTCTCATCTGACTCCAATCAGGTACAGCACAGCATTCAGCACAGGCCTCAACGTAAGGCCTTGTGTTAAAACCCAGACAAAACAGCCCAGCAGGCTGAATCTAACAGACTCTGCAAAACACTTAACTTCTCAKAACACTTCTCCCCATATAARAAAGATTCAACCCTATYATCTCTTCAGGCTCTTCCTGGTTACAGCCCTGAAGATGGTGACTTTTATGTCAGACGTCAGAACGTAACTAACTTTTGTTTATACAGACAGAAAGAACACATGATAAGACATACAGCAACTCTTTGTCTGTTTTAAAATTTAAGGCTGCAATGATCAGAAAGTGTAAAAATACAATGCTGCATCTAACATGAAGTTAATCATTTACAAAATTTCCTTCACCTCCATAAAAACAATTTGCATGAAAAAAACACATCCCTGCAGGACAAAACACAAGCTCCGCTCTGTTTTCAGTGAAAGTCCAATCAGGAGCTCACTCTGACATCACTCCTGGCTGAAGTGTGCTTCGACCTGTTCACTTCACAGAAAGTGATTTTCTGTCTTCTAAGAGCTGATGTAAGTTTTTTTTTTTTGTTTTACTTTATTTTGTTGTTTGTCTTTAAATTTACTTTGGACTTCTTGTGGTGAAAATGGGATATTTCTTGTCATAGTGTAAAGGTGTATCTCAGAACATTAGAGAACATTAGTATTTGATTATATATCATATGAAACACAAGTTCATAAAAATGCATTTACTGTATATTACAGTATATCTTGTTGTGTGATCTCTTAATTCATTCAAGTGTAAAATTTTAGTGAGTATCAAATGGCAGCACGGTGGCTCAGTGGTTAGCACCGACGCCTCACAGCAAGAAGGTTCTTTATGTGCAGAGTTTGCATGTTCTCTTTGTGCTTGCGTGGGTTTTCTCCTGATATGCCGGTTTCCCCCACAGCACAAAAACATTTACATTAGGTGGCCTTTAGGCCCAGGCCGCCCTTGAAAAAGAGATCTGTGATCTCAATGGGAATTGCC